ACAAGGTTTTCCCAGTCGCGCAATAATCTCGCGCGTATCAGTAATTCAATAATTGAAAATAAATTCTGATTGACTCTCTAAAAAAATCCTGCATTGGAACAGAGCAGAGGAGTTTTTCGCTTCAGGGTTATTAACATTGAATTTCAGCCGTCTCCTCGAGTTTGTAACCTGCGTGGCCAGAAACGGGATTTTCGGTTTTGGCCGCGCGAAAAATGGAACGAGAGCGAAAAAATGAAAGAGACCCAAGAGACCCAAAACCTGAAATTTTTGGTCGAATCAAGTGAAATGAGAGTACACATCTTAGTAAAACGTCTGGCAAATTGCTTCAGTTTTGTTTTTGCACGTAACACTAAGTTTATATTACAGCTGATAACATCAAATTTGACTTTAGTTAGATAGATACAACGCGGGGACACTCAGGTACAAATTGCCCACTCATTTAAAATTTACTCTTAGTCGACTCTCGAGTTTATTTGTAGGAAACTCCAAATATTGAACACTTTCTATATTTGTTAAAACTGATGGCTCTCCTTAACTTATAAAGAAAGTGGATTACAAAAAAAAATGCTTTAACAGATAAGTCTTCTTTATACGCAATGACATTTTCTTTCACAATTATTCCGTTTTTATATTTGAATATATTTATGCCTTCTCGTAGTTATGGAATTTTAACTTTGCTTCCTCCCTCCATGTAAACAGCCCTCACACGTAAATCTAAACATTTAAAACAATCTTCGAGGACGTTCGATGACGTCTCATCAACGAAATTACTTGTTATCAGCTATTGTGTTTATACAACTTGATTCCGAGTCACTGATTCACTCTATCCAAATATACTTTCAGCAGCTTGCTTGATGACTTGAGCCCCATGTTTGATTTCTTCGTTCGTAAGTTGAACATTAAGAGTTGCTCTGATACTGAAAAAAAAAAAAAGAATACAAATTCTCACATTATCCATTAGGAGTACATCTGGAAAACTTTTTGATTATCTTATCAATCCAAAATAAAACTAGGTTGTATTTTTTGTACATTAAATACAATTTTTTAATGGCGTTTCAAGAAAACTCGCATAATGTTACCAAAAGTACAAAAAATTACAACTTTATTTCACATTCCTGTAAATAAGAGGTACTTTAGCTAATTAGAGCAAGTAAACTAAGGGGAAAAATACAAGAAAAAGGTAATCAACAACAAAAACAACGGCTCATTGTACGTAGAAATTTATATCATATCAACCTTTACCTTGGAGGAGGTAGGAATTTCTCGTCGTTTTTGAGATATCTTGCAATTGTCAGCGCTATACCATTCTGTAGAGCCTTTACATTAAACGAGAAAAGAATGTTACTAACATGAAGAAATTTCAAAGAGAACTACTTTTAAAATTGTGGAACAGAACATAGCGCGATAAAGTTTAAAGTTGCTCGAATTCACTTTTTAAGTGACGTTTTCGTAGCCGTGGCCGTTGTCTTAGAGCGAACATTTTCCATCAACAAACAAGTGGGACAAACAACACAAACAACTTACTAAGGCAACAACTTCTTTCAGTTTTTCTTCGTCTTCTTCAAACGTTTCATGAGGCTCCAGAAGCCTCAAGTGTACAATAGGCGACTCCTTTGATCCTTCACACAAAAGGCCTTTGAGTCTAAAACCAAGACAAAAATTGAATTGATTTTTGTTTCACACCGTACGAAAACAAACTACAAAAATAAGAGACCATAATGCACTAGAGGAACTAGCCTGAGAAAACAGCCGACATTTGGAGATTACCACTGGTTTCCCCGCGAAAAGACGTCTGAGAAACGCGCGCAGAAATTCCATACTGATGACACGTCACTACCAGATCTGGGTAGTGCTTCTGATTGCATGCAGCATATTTCCAACCAATCAGAAGCACTATCCAGATCTGGGTAGTGACACGTCATCAGTAAGGAATTTCTGTGCTCGTTCGTGAGACGTCATTTCGCGGGAAAACCGGTGTTGATGTGGCGAAATGTCGGCTCTTTTCTCAAGAGATAGAAGGAAATACTTAATACAATGAATGATCAAAAAATCAAAACCTGAGCATGAGCTGTGATGAGGACTCAACAACTGCCGACCTCTCATGACGTTCGCGCTTTGTCAACCAGATAAATTGCATTAAACTGCAAAACCTCTTGATATGACTATTCTCATGCACAGTATGATAACATTTGTGCTCAACTAACATACTAGTTACTACTAACAAAATATTAAGTTCCAATAAATTGTGAAAAACTTCAACATGCTTTTACAAATCTCTGATGCAAGTTTTAAAAAAACATACCCTTCAAGCTCTGCACGAAATAGTTTGGCTTTCTCTTGAAGCTCCTCAAACATTTCTGAAACGTAACCAAACATTAACATTTGAACAAGGCCTTGCTCATGCCAGAGAGATATGCAACGGCTCTAATCACAGGTTCACTGACCTCACGAGTGAAAATCGCTGTTGCGTAACAGAACTATTGCAAGAGTTTTTATATGGGGATTTTAGCGATCGTTATTTAGGGCTCAAAAATAGCAAAATATTGCCTCCCTGTTTTATGTATGATGTGTTGTCAGCATTTTCGGCCTTTTCAGGGCAATTAATAATAATAATAATTAATAATTTGAGATTAATATTTAATATTTCGATTTAATAAAATTTCTGTTACGCATCAACGATTTTCACTCATGAGCTTGGGGTACATTTGCTATAATCATCGCTTTCTAACAGATGATAGTGATTTTGTTACAAATAGTTATGGTGAGTCCTGCGACTCATCTTGTAACAAGTCAGTTAATCTGGAGAACGATGCTAAAACTCTTTACTACAGTTTACTGAAATTAAAATATAGTCCTTCTAAATATTTAGAGCACAAAAAAGACGTAAGTAAACATGCATCTTTAAACAACAGCCACAGAAATCATTCTTTTCTACCATGCAAAAAGTCATCAAATCGATCGATCATTCGACTTCTTTGTATCCTTCGGGATGCATGCCATGAATTATTCTGCATCTTTGGGGATTTTTAAGCGCCAGGGATGCAGGACGCAGAGGTAACAAAATCACTGCAGATGTAAAAAAATAATTCTTACCTGGCTTTTGTTCAATAATATTCAATGCTTCAATCGCTGCAGATGCCAGCATTGGAGGTAATGACGCGGAGAAACAATATCCTGCCCCTGAGAGTCTCTGTAAAAGGGAAAATTTGACAACAGATCAAGAGTTACTTTGGGTCTTTTATCATCCACCCCTCAATTATCTATTCACACAGTGTAGATCTACAATATGCACTGTGGAAGATTGAACATTTTCACCAAGACAATAATGCACCTTGTTTACGCCCCAAAATTTTACACAAACATTGCTTCCAATTTCTCCTGGGTATTACATTTGTCCTGGGAGAAATCGAAGACAATAGTTATGAAAATTTTGGGGGTAAACAAGGTGCATTATGGTCTGTATTAGATAGGATAGTGCAAATGAATATGAACGATCTTCTCTTACAGTCTGCCAAAAGGATGTAGCCTGCGAGCAAGCTCTCCTATTTGGGCAAGCGAAGAGAGCCTTGTAAGAACGCATGAGTGAGGGGCCCCTCGTGTCTTCGCCGCTCGCTCGCGTGTTCTTGTGAGACTCGCTTCACTCGCCCAAATAAGAAAGCTTGCTCGCAGGCTAAAAGAATGAAAAACAGCATACCGCAGAGCTAGATGATATTGCAATACCGCACATACAAAAATTACCAAAATATCTCTGAGTCTTGAAAAAGAAACTCAATACTGCAACACCATAAACAACATTGTCTAAAACTGGAAACCGTGCAACAGCATGAAGAATCTCTAGCACCCTGGGTACAGTAGGAGCCAAAGGGCTGAAATAGTTGTGGCAATACAGCCACTACAGGAATACAAGCAAGGATTTTTTTGAATACACCACACCTGATGGTCAACAACAAATGATGTTCCACAGCAGAATCCTCCAATAGTTGCTAAAGAGTTCTCCATTGAAACAGATATCAAGTCAACATCTTTTATCTGGTGAAAAAGGATAAAAATGTGTGTTATCGATCCAAAAGCAGGCTTTTTTTTTAAGGTAAAGCCAAGTCACCAATGACACCAGAAAATAATATTGCTGTCGCAACACTCCTTTACCCCCACTGCTTTGCTCAATAGCCCAGTCAAAATGTTTTACAGTAGTAGGCAGGACAACCATAGTAGCAGGCGGCAACACTTGTGCGGCTATTATTTAATCTTATCAGACCCAAGTGTCAAGTAGGCAGCAAATAATAAATTATGTTACTAAAAGTGGGAAAATTGCCGGCTTCCAGCTCATTTTGACTGGGTTGGCTCACAACTTCAATGTGAACTAAACTCCAAAAAAAGAGTCTTTAACTATTCTTTGTTTCATTCGACACAAATCACATTAGTCTTAGTCTTAAGCAATTTCAACTTACTGGGATATCAAAGTGTTCTGTTAATCCTCTTCCAGTTTGACCAAGAACTCCAAACGATGCACTTTCGTCAATAATAATTCGCACTTTGTATTTGTATTTAAGCTCAATCTAGAGAAGTGAACATGACGGTTAAATTCCTTGTAAGCTCTAAATGGAATTGTATCACAGGTGAAAACTTTCCTAAACAACAGTTACATCTATTTTACCTCAATCTGTCCTACCCAACAGGCTCTGAAAAACTACTGAACCCATTTTATTTAATTTTTTGCCTCTTTACTTGTTTCCCTATTACACTGGCTTTTCAGTCCCCCTTTTACTTTCCTCCTGTTTGTTGGTCCTTTTCCCTGAGCTTCAAGAGATTCAACCTAAGCCGTATTTTAAGTTACCTTTACAAATTATGGAAATTGAGAGCTTAATTTAAATTGTCATTTACTACTAAAGTACCAAGTATTATAGGAAATAACTACTTCATGAAATTAACATGAGAAATTCGCATTAATTTAAGTCATGTTAATTTTTGTAAATGTTAATTTCAGCATCGTTAATTAAATGGAGTGTTAATTTCCGCAACCTTAATTTCCAATATTTTGACCTCAAATTCTCGATACACTTCTAACATACTTGACACTAGCCTGCGTGCAGATGATAACTAAACTCTGATTAGTACCATATGGAGTTAACTAGAGCTTAATTGCGTCTGTGCGCTGGCTATCTTGACACCTAATAGAACAAAAAGCATTTTATCCGGGTGGAGATCTGTTAGTAGCAGAGAAACAGTTACTGTCAAGACCCCTCAAAGTGGCCAGATTTCTTAGCTTGATCCCCTTCCTACATTTAGGGTAAAAACCACAAACAAAGTTTCCATTTCAGATTATGTGTTTAACTTTGTTCCCGCTGTCTCAACAAGTTTTTTTTCTTCACGAACATTGCATTAATTTCCTTCATTTTAGTGTGTTACCGTCTCTTTTACGGTAACTTCCTTTATTTGAAAGACGTTTCCCACTTAATTTGCGTATTTTAGTCACACTAATTTCCAATACCTTAATTTCAAGGAGCATTAATTTCCTGTAATAAGGTAGTCATTTACTGTCTAATCTACACCAATAACTCTAGGTTTTGATCCCTCTAATTAGGACAGTCTTTTCTACACACTTTCTACACTGCAGCTGATTTAATCAACACATGGCCCAGGGGCGGATCCAGGATTTTTTTTAGGAGGGGGTGCACTCGTCTCTTGCTCTACTTCAACACCAATAAACCACATAGTTTTTTGTTTTGCAGAATACACACCCCCTGCACCCTCCCCCTACATCCGCCCCTGCGGCCTGATCTGACAATAAAGTCAGTGATAAAACTATTAACTTACTAGTTTAGCAAGTGGTGCAATATCACCATAATTGACATAAATTCCCTCTACAACCAAGAATCTTCTTGTCACACATGCTTTCTTGGGATTCTACAACAACAAGAACAGCAAAAAAGAAAAGGGCCATAAAAGTTAGCTTGATGAAGAAGCTTGACAAAGACTAAAGAGCAAAACAAAACCAGTTTTCATTGTAAGTTGTGTATTCAAACCTTGTCATCTTTTTCTTTCTGTTCCAACAAAAGCCTTTCCAGGTCATCCATGTCATTATGTTCAAACCACATTATACGGCTCCGCGAAGCTACAAGCCCTTTTTGAATTGCAAAAGAAACTCCTTTGTCACTATGAGAAAAAGAGAACAAGGAACGTTGAAATTTTACAGACAAAATATCTTATAACTCTATAATATAGGGGAGGGTGCCATGTTGCCCATCTGAATTTTAAAACGTCTCGTGTCAGTGTTTATAAATGCTTGTCGTTTATTGTCGGCTTTGCCGTCACTGTCGCAATTTGGCTGAGGGAGGTTGTCTCTTGTTGCGATTTCTTTTTATGCGCTATTGCTACTTTTTGGGCCATGTCGCTTGTCGGAATTTACCCTGGCAGGGCCTCATATATCATTCAGTAGTGGTTTAACAACCTGGTGGCAGAAATTTGCCTTTTTTATACCCAAAAATATAAGAAGCTGTTTAGCCAAGCAAGGTCGAGAGGTTGTTAATGTCGTAGTTCCTTTCGCTAGACTTTACAATAACTGTAATAAAATAAGACAACAAACAGATGGCGTAATGGGGGGAACACCGCTCCGCGATCGGCGTGGTGGACGACTTCCATAGCGTGACCATAAAGCCTTACTTATCTCCCCGGCGCTAATTTACACGCGCCGGATCGGACAAGTTCAGGTAGGTCCGAAAGAAACAAACTTAATACGGCCTAACACTCCACGGCACTACGAGCTGAAACCTCCGGCCAGCATCGTGCAACTTAATGGAACGGTGTAGGCAAATATTTTGTTCTGGGAACTTTATCTTATCAGCACTACGAGCCGACTCCGCCGGCACGTGCTGGAATACAATCAAATATAAAAGTTTGCGTTAAAATCAAAGCTTGGGGAAGTCGCCGTGAGACTTAAACCGAAAGCGAAAGAAAGCGGTGAGCCCGTGTTTATTGGGAACCGCAACAAAGCCTCCAAAGGGAGGGAAGGGTGGGAATTACAAAACTTTAGGACGGTTGAAGTAACCAACTTCGCAATACAGCTCGGAATGAGGCACAGGACTTTTACTAGGCCTTTTATAGTCCGAGTGCTATCACAAGGTAAGCCAATGAAAAATACTGTACTACAGAACAGAACGTGCACCTAAAGTGCTCCACGAGATATGCATGAGGAAAATTATTTTTACTAGCCATACAAAACGAGCGATACATCAGAAACTAGCCTCAACTGCAACAAAAACAAGGATTGCTATTGTATCAGTAGTTTCCCAGCTATAGCCGTGATTTTACGTACTACCCAGTAGTTTTACCCACCACGAGTAAACTTCTACGAGATTTGATAAGGGCTATAGCATAACACTGCGTTACATGTTGTTGAGTGAGGGCGTCACGCTCCATTAACTGCGTTTTACAATTGAGTTGTAAAACTTTCTTTATATGCAGGTTACAGTTAAATTATGATACAAATTTTAAGCAAGGAGTTTGAATTTGATATTATATATACATTCTGCAATCAGTTTAGTTAACCTTATCACAATACAACTGTGGATAACCACCGTATATTTAAGGACCAAAGCCAAATTTATTATTTTACTTTTCTGGTAGCCAACTACTATACCTCCTTCACAGAAATTAAGAACCTACTAACATAAACTGCAAATAACTTCCCCACATAGGTTTTTACTGTATTCTTCTATATCTCTTACCAGAAAATAACATCCCCTCTTTTGGAATAAGCAGGAATTACGCTGGCTATTGTGGAAAATCCATAGGAATAAAGAATTGCCTCTTCTGTTCTCATGAACTTGGCCAATCTTTCTTCTAACTCCAAATGTACATCTGAAAAAAGAGATAAACAAGGACCACAGTTCAAAGAAAACAAACTGCTACACAGTCCCTCTATAATGAATACAAGGCTGTGCTCTAAGGAAAATTGAGGAGAGCACAGTGCTCTACAGCCTGTACAATCTAAGGTGCCCAGCATGTGATTTGCACGAAAAAAATGAGATTTTCTAGTCGCCCAAGAGCAAAAGTTGGGTGCCAGGGGCCACCAGGTTTTACTAGAGCTCAGCCCTGGAAAAAGTTAGTATTGTTGAGTGCTTTCTTTTAACCAAAAGTAAATGAATTATTGGCCAGCATTTTAAGTGATCATTTTTAAAATTTATTAGTAAAAATTATATTTTTAATGTTTTGGAGTGTTGTAGTATTCAGTACTGGCAACCAGCAAAAACATGTTACAAATAAATAAATAAAACCATAAAATTATCAAATAAAATTCTAGCCAACTCATTTCCTCTTGGTTCAAAAAAGCATCTTAGGTTTTACTGATTGCAAGGCAATATTTTTTTTCCGAGTCAAATAATCATAAGGATTATTTATCTTTAAACAAGAGATCACGCAATGTCTTCATCAAATGGACTTACCTATTGTACCATAGAATCCCCGGGGTCCACATGAACCTACACCATAACGATGGAGGCTTTTGATGGCTGTGTCCTTAAAAAATCAAATAAGGATGGGTAAAAATAAGATGATTGTGAGGAACTTTAACTAGGGTCTCCAGATTGCAAGTGTAATACATGTGCTTGATTACTTAGCTCAGCCATACTACCTCCTGCCCCAATAATATAACCCTTTACGTCCTGACAGACCGACTAGATAGGAGTTCATCCATTTCACAAGTACATGGCTTTAATGTTACTGATTCTTGTTACAGAATGACAAGGAAACTAAACGAGAGCAACGTGGGATGACAGAGTAGTACCCTGGCCCCTATCTTAGAAGTTGGGTGAATTAACACATTATGCTCTACCGACAACAATTTTCTCCTAACAATATGAAGGGATCATCGAGAGAATTTAGTTATGAGAATTAATGAAATGATCATCAAAGGGAAAATGTTTTGATCTTTTATTGAATTCTTTCTACTTATTTTTGAAGGAAATGTGAAGAGATCAATTTGGAGAATTTGTAAGTGGATATTAATTTGAGGCTTACGACCAACAGAAAACTTTCCCTCTTCTTAGTACTTCATGATTACTAACAGTATTGAAAACTAGCAGAATACCTCTATTTTTTCATTTCCCACAAAACCAAGGAAGTTGAAGGTGGCAAAATTGAGACATTCTTTATCATCTATTTTTAGTGAATGTCCAGGTTTCCTGAAGATTAAAAAAAGGACATCAGTCTTGTATTGTTGCGTGACAGTTTCTGAGGAAGTGATGTTAATGAGTCTTAATGATTTTAATGATGTAATAGGATCAGTTTTTTCTTTCAGTAACGTTTAGTAAGGTAAGATTGCAGATTTATAGGTTTAACTAGTTTATGGATCTATCAACCCTGGAATCAATAATGTCGAGAGTTAAGTTCTCTCAAATGTCCATAATTTATTCTTGCTAGGGATTAAGCTGCTGTCCATATAACTGGGGTGTTTGCAATATATTTAGCAAGGTGTCTGCAAGGGGAGAGCTGACCGTAATGAGTTTCAATAACTTCAAAGTTATCGCTTTGTACAGGGTAACATCTGATACGGTCAAAATTATATCCAGGTTAAATTTTTTAACCTAGGTTGACTCACGAATTAGGGCTAGAAGACAAAAGAAATTGAGAATCAACCTAGGTTAAAAAATTTTAACCTGAATTTAATTTTGACCTGTAACATTTCCTTGGAGGCTAGGAATTGGCTTAAGATTGAAAGAAAAACATGAGTCATAATTGACAGTACAGCTTGCTTACGGGGTGGTGCTTTGATTAGAGTTAACAGCTGAAAGGTTTTAGAAAGTACATTGAGGTTGTATCAGCTACATTGCCACAGAAGAATACAAGTTTTTGGGCAAAAATGTGGTCAATACAGTGGAACCCGGCTAATAGGACACCGAGGGGACATGTCATAGTGTCTGTGTTCTATCGGGTTCCACTGCAGTAAGAAAGCTACAAATTATTGCTCAAAGAGTATTTAAGTTGTAAATGAACATGGCATAAG